TTAATGTTATCAGCATAAGGAAAACCCAAGGGCCAAAGCACTGACCCTGACACACTACAAAGGCCCAGTTTTACTGGACTCGGTAATAACATTTTTCTCATCTAATACCCTACAATCCAATTAAGTAGTTTTTACACAACTGTTACCATTGTTGTTGGTTTTTTTTATCTGATCTTATTGTATATCACTTCATCAAAAGCTTCTTTAAAATCTAAGTAAATTCATACCCTTTCTTTTGGCCAGATAATAAATAATATTCTCAAAACATTTAACTGTTTTGTTGTGCAAAATTTCTTTTTGTAAATCCATGATGACATTCTTTTGTAATAGTATATTTCACTTAACTATGATGATTTTATGAAGCTTCTTTTATCATACTGCACTTTTTTCCACTACAGAAGTTACATTAACTAATCTATAAATATTAGGTCAACTTCCTCATCCTTTCAAAATTCTCTAACTCTTGGGTACCTTGCCTATATTTACAGGCTTACCAAAAATGAGAAAGGTACTTGCATATCTGATCTTCAACATCCTCTAAAATCCTGGGGAAGACCATGTCTGGCCTTTATGTTTTCTCTGTTTTTAATCTCAGTCTTTGTACTTAGAACCAAAGGATTAATATCTAAATGATTCATATTAATTCGACAGTTTACCATACATCAAAATCTTCAGAGTCAGAAATATTCTAATATGTTCTCTTGTAATAAGAGAACAAAAGAAAACATTTAAAAGCTCAGCATGTCATAGTTTTCAATGAACCCTTCCCATTAGTACCCTTTTATAGCCCAATTCTTATTCTAACATTTTGCTTTCCTTTGACACACTTAACATTAACAGCAAATATTTTTTTATTATTTTTTTTATCAGCCTGCTGTTTTTTATAAACTCTTTAGAATTTCCTTATTTTACTTTAAAATAAGCCTCAAACTTTCCTGTAGCTCTTTAAATCATTCAACATATCTGTCAATTAAAATGTTTAACTGTTGACTTTTATCCTTGATTTAACCTTTATGTTTTTAGTAGAGCTAATTAAATTGGAATTTTCCTGTTATCCTTCTTTTTAGGAACATTCTTAATTTAAAAGCAGTTTTTAAATTTTCCCAAGTTGTCTCCTATCACCTCTTAACTCGTTATCCCAATTCACAAATGATAAATCTTGTTTGCGGCCTCAAATGTAGCTGTCTGAAAACTAGGAACTAAAATTGTTTAAAATTTCATTCTTATAGCTTAGCTACATGCAGCAAAGCACTGCTTTGATGACTTAGTGACTTATCAGTTAATATTCCAAAATGATATCATTCTTCATTACCACTATTGAGTTGGTTCCCATTTATATTAATTGTGTAATCCATGTTATTAAAACCCAAATGCATTACTTTAGTCTTACTATAACTATAGGTGATTAGCCAAGTATTTGTCTTAGTTACCAACTTATTGAAATCATTCTATAATACCTCAATATGGAAATATCCAACACTGGCCCAAGCACTGACCCTTAATACATTACGAGGGTCCAGTTTGACTGAACTCTATTAATAACAAGCTTACTACATTCTTACAGCCATCCTCCTTAGAGTCAGAAATCAGTTAACTGGTCTTTCCGAAACCCCTACTAATGGGGTTTTATTAGCTAATCTTTTGTTTTGAACTTTGTCAAAAGCTTTTTTGGAAATCTATAAATCAGTTATATTTCTTTTTCATCATCCAGGTAACAAGTAACATTCTCTTCAAATAATAACAGATTAGTAAGGTAAGATTTCCTTTTGATGAATGGAGTCCATTCAAATGATCCTTGTTACTAGTGGAGTGCCTTAATGGTTAGTGCTTGTGCTTTCTTGTATTTATGTTAATGGTGTTCATAGAGGCATAATAGTGAAGTTTGCTGATAACATTACACTCTTGGGAATTTCTAGTTATATTAAGTATGTTAAAGGAACACAGAATATTGTTTTTAACCCATGGGCTACAACCCAAAATTGGGTTATCAGGATGAGTAAAAGGATCATGAACAGACTTTGATAACATATAATGTTTTTTGTTTTTTTTGCACAAAGCTATTTACTGGATCACAACTGACCCTCAATGTTATTGTTTACAAATGGGCTCTGAGTCAAACAAGGTTGAGAATCAATGCTATTGAATGACTTAGATTAACTGGTAGCTAAATATAATTAGTTGGCTAATGACATTTAATTATATTAAGTGCATGGTGATGCACTTGTGTTATCACAGCTTAGACCACATGTTGAATGTTGTTGAGAACCTATTCAATAGCCTGACTGCGTGAAGAAAGAATATTGTGGCATAGTGGTAGAAAAGCCACTGAGGCAGTGCCCTGTGACTAGTTGTAAAACTAAAAGAATTTTATAATATCCATGTATGTATAAACATAATGATTCCAGGTTAAAAGAAATATTTATCTCTACAAATCATTAGTTATACATAGCCTACAAACAATAAGGGGCCATTTTATCCTTCAAGACTGTCCTTTCACACCAACACTTCAATAAAATAAAAAATTTAACACACCTCTCACCTTTCAGGTCATCGTCAATTCCCCTCTTTAAACACATGTAAAGTGCTCCATTATTGCCAACAGCAACTCATTCCCTTAGTCAGTCACCCTGTTAGAAATGTAAAGTTGTCTTAAATGGAGCCCAGTTTGTCTTTCCAAGTCTTAAACTTGTATCATCTCATCCTGTTATTTTTAGAATATAGCACAAAGGATCCAGATAAGGCTATTAGCCTATTAATCTCCCAGGTAATGTAGTAAACTTCAGTAAGATCATCTGTTTTTCTTATTTTCTCAAGAGAAAGTAAACAGAAATCTTAACCTATCCATGTAAGATAACCATTCCATCCTTGGAATCATCCTAGTAAATTTCTTCTATCCAATTTGCTAACTTATCCCCCACACCTATAGAGCTAATTTTTATTACAAGCCTTTTATGTGGCACCTTGTCAAATGC